GCTTCGCCTGCGTTCTGCCAGTCCCAGGCGTCTCTCCGAAAGCACCGCCCGCGTGGCAGCACCGAGAGCCCTTCCCGGTTTGTTGTTGTGTTTGGAACCTCCGATCTCAGGAAGAGGTTTCGCTTCTGGGACCCTGGAGCCTGGGACCGGCAGTGGAACAGCAGGGAAGGGTGGCTTAAGAGCCGAAAGAGGGCGGTGGTTGTGTTGCGTTGTACACGGACTGCTCAGGAGCCTTGTCACAGGCTTCCTGGTTCGCGTGTCGTGTGTGTGTGTCTACGCTTGTTCTTGCTACTTGTAAATTCGGAATCAGTGTCCGAATGTCTAAATACAGCCCATACTCAGATTCAGCTGTTTTGAGTATCAGGATGCACTAACAGTGCACGCTTCTGAGGCAGAAGGAATGAAAACATGGAAAAGCAAACAGAGTACAGATAGCTCTAGAGATGTGCAACAAAAACTTGGTAAAGCAGTGAGAAGGATGTCAGAAGTATGCACAGAGGCTCTTGCATCTATTACAAAGACGCAGGGTGTTGCAGCTGGTGAAAAGAACTCAGCTGCCTGAGGTCATGAATTCAAAGCTGGCCGGAGGCAAGTTGTTGTGTATGCTGAATGCTTCTGCCTTCTTGTGCTTTCTCTTGCTCCATGTCAACTCTTCCAAGAGAACAGAGACAACTACTGGAAGAGAGCATAAAATACCCAGCAAGTTTCTGTGTTTTATTTTTACGAACTACTGTAGTTTGCCGGGTATTTCAGTATGAATTAGGTGTGACTAAGTATAAGCTTGGTATTTCCAGCTTTATGCTGGAAAACAAGAACACCCCTGAGCCCAAACTCTTGGATGTTTAAGCCCTATGAACTATTGTAGGAGTTGTTGTATGTCTTATTGTAAACTATAGTATAGCAAGCTACTGCTCTCTTTTACCACATAAAGCAATTCCTTGGCAAGAGGTTTGGGAGACTGCATGATTCATGCCTGTTGTAAGCTGTTAAAACATCACTTCTCCAGTAGGAAACCACCCCGTATTTATTCCAAGGATGCAAGTTCCCTGTTTTCAGGAATGTCAGATAACTTGTCTACTCTAAGCATATCCACTTAAAACCAAAACTGATTAAAAATAATGATGACTTTTTTACTGCAGGTCAGCCGGTATCCCTGGAAGCTCTAATGTGGCTGCTGGCAGTAACCGTCGTCTTCAGCAGACTCAACATCAAGTAGATGAGGTAAAAGTCTAGTCTGGTAGCACTGTAATAATTTTCCTTCAGGAAACCTGTATAACTAAAAGGGATATTTAGGCCAAAGCAGTTTCCCCATCATTATATAAAGGGGAAGCCTAGTATTATTCAGCTTGCTTTATCATACTTGTGTCATCTTAACTCTTGCAAAGCTTTAAAAAAAAAAAATCCATTCAGCTTGAGTGGGAAAGTAGAGAGAAGTTGTTGGTGTCCGGTGCCTGAGGCTTTGGCATAAGTAAAGATAAAAACCTTTGTTCTTACAGAGAACAAGCTTTTCTCTTGTCAGTGGCAATGAAGGCTGACTGCCAGATATGGTATGTCCAGATTTCTGGAGAGGCTGAAAGCCGGGCTGGCTACTGGCAGGTTTTTTAGACTAGTGGTTGACTGTTATGTTTATATGCCTCAACTCCTTCTGAAGTGAGTCAGGAATTATTTCCCAGGTTTAAGGGAATGCCAGCACAACTGGCACTGCTTGGGTCTTAAAGTAGGTATTAGGGGCTTCCAGCCACAGGTGAATGCCACAGTTATGTTTAAGCTTATGACTTGATATATTAAAAGGCAATAGCTCCTACTTCTAAGATGAGAATGTTGGGTACCATGTGTTGCTATCCATTGCCTGCAATTAAGTTGTACAATGGGAGACAGAACTAATAACTTACTGTAAGTATTAAACTGATGTAGGTTGTTGACATCATGAGAGTGAATGTGGACAAGGTATTGGAGCGAGATCAGAAGCTGTCAGAGTTGGATGACCGTGCTGATGCACTGCAAGCAGGAGCTTCCCAGTTTGAGACCAGTGCAGCCAAGCTGAAAAGAAAGTATTGGTGGAAGAACTGTAAGGTAACCATGGCTTGTATACTTATGCTATGCATGTTGCAGTTAATACTATTATGATCAGCATCTCAAAAGGCAGAAGTAAAAGTGACTTTAGCCGATGTTATTTAATTTATAGCATCTATTTTTAAAACATGGCATAATGATTAGGTGAAGTAACCAAAAGCTGGATTACCAGCTGTGCTGCTTGATGCAAGACCCTGTCAAGATGGTAATGGGCAGAGGGGAACACCTCAGTAATCTGAGGCTTTGGGGAACTGGAAGAAAAAGGCCAAAAATACATAGGCTGAGTTAATGTGTAGGAAGTATTAGAAAGCAGAAGGAGCTCACTCGGAGTCCTGTACTTGCAGCTGTTTGTGAAGGTTGGAACCCTCTTTAGTGAGCAACAGAGACAGTGAAAGATGTGGTATAGGGTAAGAGCAGAAATTATGTTTAATAGTTCTTTATTGCTGCTTGTATAGTCTTGGGTAGGCTTTGCATGGAGGCACAATGGAAAAGAACCCATTGGTCTGCTTTACCTGTGTGCACAGCCTCCCATCTCTGAGTGGGAATGGTGAATCGAGCTTGCTTACTGAAGACGTTTTACTTGTTATGTTAGATCTAGCACAGGGTGCAAAAGTACTTTCCAGTGGCTGCTTTCCTGTACCCTAAAGGCCAGTTAATGCTGGTGCATGGCTTGTAGTAAGTGTTGTATGGCTTTTTTCACAGATGTGGGCAATATTGATAGCTGTTGTTGTCATTCTCATCATCATCATTATTGGTAAGTTTCAACAAAATGGGGGTTTCTCAGAGTTGGAATAGATGGTGTTAATTTGCTGACTGGTAGTGTTTAAAGCTAGGATACCCAAATGAAAGGATATACAATGTTAATTTGAAATAGCAGTGGCTGCTTTAATAACTGCTGCCTACAGTGAGTGGTTAACTGACTGCTGTGGGAGCTCCAGTAGCTGAATCTCAAGCACCTGTGCAGAGTGAGACAGGTGGAAGTGGAAATACCAAGGACTTAGAAACCAGGAGCAGCCTTGGGTTTTTTACAGCTGCATGTGGCAGAAGTAGAAATACCATATGCCTCCTTTGTATGAGAACTGTTTTTCATCTGCCTTGGCTTCTTGCTGGATGAGTCCTTTTCAGTATGGTAGTTCCAAGTATGTGCCTGTAGTAGGTAGGCTTTTTTCAAGTAGAGACTTTGCTGCCGGGAGAAATGATGCTAACATTTGTTCAGGATAGCAAGCCAATAACATATAGTTCAGTGTTCAGCTTGAATTCTGATGTAACCCCCAAGTATTTTGTGGGAGGACAAAGTTTAAGTTTGTGCTGTAACATGGCAGTAACCACGGGCAACAGGTATGTAGTCCTGGGTGAGAAATACCAGTGTGCAAGCACAAAGGAAAGCTAAAACTAGGAAAACCAACATGGGAAACTCTTAAATCCCTCTTTGCCTGGCTCTGGTATCTCAGATTATGAAAATGCAGAATTGTTGTGGTGAGCGGCTGAAGGAGACTGTCCTTTGTCCAACTTTTTTCTTCTTTTTGTAGTCTGGATTGCATATTCATGAGTTGCAGGAAGAAACTCAGATGAACTGAAGGTGCCAATCTTCAGCCTCTCTGCCTCAGACCTGCTGTATTTTCAGCTCATTTACTACTCTTTAAAGCAAAACTGTTTTGTTTACTGAAATGTTAACTAACTTTACCTGGTTGCCTTAAGACACTCCTGTCATAAATTACTAATAAGCACAGCCTGCCACTTGCACAGTGCCT